ATTAAAAAAATACGCTCAAGATTCAAAAGTCTTTTGTTGACGTTGAAATCAAAACAGTGAGGTTTGGCTAGAGGGAAATCGGCAGAACAAATTAATGAGCAAGGTAATAGGCAGCTCCCAGAATTTTGAGTAAGAAATTACTTACAACTAATGAAAATTAATTACCTGGAAAACTACATTTCAGCTCCATGACAAAAAGTATAGAATTCTTGATTCTGTATGGGTCCTTGCGTGTGTGTGTGTGTGTGTATGTGTGTGTGTGTGTGTGTGTGTGTGTGTGTGTGTGTGTGTGTGTATGTGTGTGTGTATGTGTGTGTGTGTGTGTGTGTTTGTGTTTGTAAGGGAGAGTGTGTCTGGGAGATGTCGTTTGAAAGTTGAAAAAAGTCTGCCTGTAAGTATGCATCTGTGTCAATTTTCTGTGAGAGGCTGATAAGGAAATTTTACAGAAAACTGAACAACAGTTAGTAACAAAAACAGAATGAAAGGTGTTTTAGAGGACAACACGAGGGAATAGCTTAATTAAGTGATCAAGGGAACTGCACATCGCGTGACTTGTTCTCAAGTTTAAAGTAACCCAAACATCTTCACCCATTAATTCTTGACCTAAAAGTTTATAACCTTTGGATGCAAATGAAAGGATCCTTTTGAGTTAGGAGGAAGAAAATAATTCTGGACCATATGGTTTGTGACATTCCTCAATCTCCAACAGTCTACGTCTGCACGATACTGTGAACTCGATCCATTCCGTGGTTTTCCGATGTCTTATCTGTGGGTACATAGCGCTGCTGTTGAGAGCTTGGTTGTGTGGCACAACACATGTTTGTCCTGTGAACCTTTCTGCATTTATGTATTTTGATTGGGCGACGGGCATTCTAACCTTCCAACCTATTGGAGTTGAAATAATCCTTACCGTGTGATTTGGAGTGGTATTTGCACAACGCTACACTTCGAGCAGGAAACAAAAACATGTATTAGTAATGAGATGCTATACAGACTTCTGAATGGAGTTACAAAACATACCGATGAAATAAAACTACTTTGTTTTTTATGTTGGCATCATCGCCTTTTCCCTCTCAGTTTCCACGGGCTTGGGACCGTCTCAGGGTACACTGTACACCGAGGCCTGATTAAAAAGACGGCGCTACCGAGCGCTCACGTCTGGGGTATGTTAGTTGTTAGTCAGTTTAAGAATGTTAGTGTTATGGGTTGGGTCAGTCAACAAATTGGATGTTAGAAATTAGTACATTTTGCTAATTAAAGTAAGTTATAGCTACAGTTTGCATTCTAGTGATTTAACGATTGAGTAGTTGTTATTGAAACAGCTGAAAAAAGACGAAAGAAAGTAGCCAATTAAACCAAGCGCTGCCCCCACAGTGGCTGGAATAATTTCGGCTCGTTAGTAACACATTAATGAAAACACAGAAATGCACGTACGAGACAAGACATTTCAGAGTTAGATAAAATGGAAACTTTTTAGTTACTGTGAGACAACTATATTAGAAAAGTAAAATAGAGAAAATGCTGTGTCCACTTCGTAGGTAACAGGTCCCCCCTCAGCGGTAGTGAGGGTAACAACTCACCAGTAACATGTGTAAAGTCCTCGTCAACTCCCCATTACTCACATGATGACTTAAGCTGGTGATGTACAGGCCCTGAGCTTGCCTTGGTGTGTCCAAGACACCTGCTTCCTGCCTCATTGAGTTTTCTGTTGGTTAAGACAAACACGAGTGCAAAATATGTGTCGTTGGGTGGACAAATTTGTAAGTAAACTAAAAGTTAAAGTAGTGTAGTACATTTCAAAAACCAAAATAGCAATTCAATTCAATTATTAGGTGAATTAGGTAAACGGAAATGGGTGAAATATAAGAAAACTAGAAACAACTTCAACACCATATTTTGTTAGAAAGTGCTAAAATGAAGAAAGAAAAGAGGAAAAAAAGTATGCAAATACAGCACTTGCACTCGTTACAGAGAGTCTATGATTACCCTGAACTGCTGAAAGCGCTCACGAAGGAATTCCAGGAGATGGCAGACTGAAAGTCGGAGTCGTGGGTTGTTCTGTACAAGCCTGTAGAGCACAAACCTGTGGAGTAAGCAAAAATACTCAGATCAATAATCGGCAACATCAAGTGAAAGCAAGTATTCATATTATGGTAAATGGAAATTTCTGAATATTCTACGTAACAGACTACAAGTATGTATTTTCTTTAAAAAACCAACATATTACTATTTTATTTTTCATTTACAAGGAATCAACAGCACTCATCTAAAAGTAAAGAAAGCTGCATTGGGTTAGGATCCAAAGTAAAGAATGTCTCGTTACCTGAAGAAGCCCAAGAGCGGCATTAGGGTTCTGTCGGATTTCACAGCGTGCAGAAGATCCTCTCCATCGCGAGGTTTTCGTTTGAAGACAAGAAACCACAGCGTTGCTCCAAGTGCGTACGCGTCCGTCTGTAGAGAATAAGTGGAAAAAAGAGTTGGTCAATAGTGAGCAAATGGTTCCAAGCAACAGCATATTGCTGCAGTATACAAAGACCTTCAGGGAGCACACAGAAAAAAAGAAAGGGAAAATACAATTATCTACTAGTACGCAATAGTGACAAACACGATTACACCAGACAAACAAAGAAAGGATGTTATGCATATTATAACCCAATAACAAAAGCCACAGCGCATTTACAATTTTTAAATACAATTACTTGTTTACAACAGAATAAAAACATACAATAAATTTACAGCAGAAACAAAGCCACAAAAACATACCGACAGACAAACAAACAAACCAAACATCAGGACAACTTTTACACAACATTAAACTTCAACAAATCAAACACGCAAATAAACAAGCTCACTAAGTAGAAAACTCTGCAGTTACTCACCAGAAAAGGATCTACGGTGATGTCACTCTGGATCTCTGGAGCGAGATAGCCTTTTGTTCCGAGTACGTTCTTGCTGCTCACTCTGTTTTGTCCGTGTGCCAGAAGGCGGGACATTCCCAGGTCACCGAGAATAGCGTTGTTGGATTCATCCAGGAATACGTTGGCAGGCTTCACGTCCCCGTGTACAGCCCACCTGTTGTGAAGATATCTCAGTGCACAGGCGGTCTGCACGAAGCAGCGCTCTAACTGCTCCCTGTTGAGACGGTGACGCGCATCATGCAAAGATCCTCGTGAGCACAGAGGCATGCAGATAGCTACAAAGTCCTTGCACTTTACTGCCCAGTCCATCTTCATGATGTGCGGATGCGAAGCGTAGTCCATGAAGCTGATTTCGTGAAAAATCTCCAGCCAACTGTCCCGGCCTTGGCAGTCTGTGAGACGTATCTTCTTGATGGCCTTGCGAATGGAGTTGTCGTCTTCCATTGCCGCTTCTAGAACTTGAACCGGCGTGATCGTCTTCTGGCACAGAACGCGCACTTGCCTCATCTTTACGGATGACCAAAAGTCACCAGAAATGAACTTCACCAAAGGAACTGAAAAACTTTCCATACTTGAAAATTCACGACAGATGTTAAGAAACGATACTCAGGCACACTGAAAAAGCAACGACCTCTCACTGTAAAAGCGTTACGGTGAACTGGAGGATGTCCAGGTCTGCTGACTTTATATTCCCTGTTGCTCCTCCCTTTCCCTTATCACCGCCAATCAAAATCCTAGTAAGGTTCATGTCAAATGAAGGATTAACAAAGTGTGGATAGTTGATTATGCGTAGTTGTTATTTACATGGCTAGAGTTTTTGTAACATCGATTG